CTTTTTAAAATTGTTAAGAGTTCTTCACTCATTCTTCAAATTCAGCAACTTTTTCTTACCAACAAATGTCATGTTGGGAAACTTCTTATGATAATGAGAATGAATTTCTAATCCAACTAAACTTTTTCCTTTTATACCTTTAAAAATAATGATGAAAATATTCCTTGAACATACATTGATTTTTCTCTACTAGTCTTAGTAATTCTTCTTTGAGCTTCAAATTGTAATTGTGATTCAGTATCATTCATGAACCATTTTTAATTTGTTTTCCAAAGCAGAATTTGATTGCATAGGCTATGCAAGAACACATTAATGTATTTTCACATAGTCCTCAATTTCTAAGTTCATTCCATTATTAAGAATGTTGCTTTTAGAGTCAGTTTTTGAATCTAGTAACTCATGCCCTTTGGCAAAACGGCAAACTAAGAAATATATGTGTTCTTTTAACTCATAAACTCATGATAAATGGTTCCTTTGGACAGTTAGTATCCTTGAGTATGAAGCGGAGATGAGCGTTGTGACCCCATTTCTTTAGCTCATCAGTTGGTGGAAACTAGTGACCTGACCCCACCCAGGAGACGTGAGGGGCCTGGGGAGTAGAATCTAGAAGTTGTCAGGGAGGAAAAGGAAACAACTACCAAGACCAAGGGAGTTCTGGATGGATAGCTTTTATTTAAACACGTTCCAGGTTGTCAGCCTGTTATTAATCTGCTATCTCTGAAGGTCATCTTTATATTTGTTTTTTAAAGCATACATTGTTTTCCTTTCTGATAATACATTCTTTGTAGAAATTTCGGGAGAGATAGAAATGTTTAGAAAAATAGAAATCTGCTACAGACTCTGGATGGTAAGTATACTTTTGCTGTATCTTCTTCCCTTTTTCTCATCACCCTTTCCTGCTCCTCTAATTTGTATACTGGTAATTTACAGTGACTGTAGGTAACAGGAGGCAGTCTGGTTCCCTCACCGGGGTATCTGGGGAACTAAGATAAGCTGTGTTCTCAGCCTTGAGACTGGGTCCAATAAACAATTCTCATAAAACTGAGTCCGAGTGGGCTCACATATGCAGAATATTGTTATTACATAATATTCTGGCACCCTGCTGGCTTTGTCTATGTGTAGTAGGTAAGGGGGTTAAGACTTCCTTCTGGGGGACAGGTGACATGCAGAGACACGCAGGGGGACACGCGGGGGACACACGGCTTGCAGTGTGTGCGGCTTACCCACTCCTGAATAAAGGCATGTCAGGCATCCCAAGGGCTCTGTGAACATTCTTCCATGAGCCCGAATCCCATGAACCTCTCTGGCCTTGACTGGTTGCAGCACAGTCACACACAGACAACATGGGATGCTTATTACAAAACTGCGATTCATACGTTTGTCCCTTACATTGTTATTAAGTGTCTCCAGGATCAGGGTGCTTAATGCCTGTGTACTCTTCCATTGTATGAATGTATTGTATTTTAACTGTTAATTTTCTTCTCATTCGATATGTAAATTATTTTTATTTTCCTTCTATTATAACTTCTCAGCTGGCATCCTTAAGATAAATTTCTGTATGTATTCCAGATTATTCTATTAGGTGAACATTGAAAATGTAGTTACTTGGGAAAAGGCACAAAGTGCTCTTGATGTGTAGGGCTCGTCCCATTCAGACAGTTCCCTCAACCCATACATTCCCCGTAGGACAGTCAAGGAGTGTTCTTTGACCTGTAGGGTGACCATTAAATGTTATTATTTAAAGGAAAACAACTTAATAGGGTGGACAAGTAGTTCCTTGCTTATTAGGAAGCGCATTTTTTTCATGGCCATGCATATTTGATTTCTTATGTGACCATTCTCGGTATATTTTTATCAACATGAAATGAATATAAGGCTTTGGGTACCGTTTCTTTAGGATGATTTTCAAAGACCTGGTCAGTTTTCATTAATGCCACTGATGTTAGGATATACTATTTTTATGATTAATTTTAATTGTAGTATAATACATTTCTAATGCTGTACTGCATTCTGCTTTTCTTCTCTAGTCAGCTGGCCTAAGGGCTTCTCAGGACTATTTTCATGGCCCTGCCCACATTGTTCTCTGGGTTCTGGTTATGTGGCGGGAGCCTCTGGAGAATGCCAGAGGCCACTTCTTCCTCATTTCTTTCCTTCCCCTTCCATCACCTCTGTCTGCAGACTGGCGATGTGGCTGATGAGAGATGGCACCTCTCGGTAAGGCCGGACCTCTGCTCCCACAGCCGTCTTCTGCGCTGTCACGCTGAGGTTAGGCATTCTTCCTGGGGCCGGTGACAGCCACGTTTCACCTTTTGAATCGTCAGTGATAGTTGAAGTGCTAACTTTTTATCAACAATGAAAATAATCTAATTTCTATTTTGTATTATAAGCAGACTCTTTAATTTTCCTTAGTTTAACATTTATGTAATTAAAATCCTTAATGACATAAATGACAGTTATGTAATTAAAATCCTTAGATGGTTGCTAATGTTTCATATGCTATTAAAAATATATAAATTCTTAGATATATTTCACCTTAAATCTTGATATTTCTCTAAGTGTTACATCTGATGCAGGAGTTTGAATGTCTCTATTGTTCAAAGTAATTGAAATTAATAGCCAAAGACTCTGTGTGTGTGTGTGTGTGTGTGTGTGTGTGTGTGTGTTGGTGAAATTCATGCTGGAAAGTGTGCTTCTATCTCAGTGAAAGTATGTAATCTTTTGTAGGTGTGATAGGTCATTTTTTTGGTATTATATGACAATTAGACATAATTTAGTTAATATTCTTAATTTTATTTAATGCTGCTAAGATTTTCTGTTTTAGAGTTAAAAACAGATACCTCACATCTCTACTTGTTAATATTTATCAATCAGTTGTAACATTTGTTCCACTAAGAGAGACTGTGAAGTACAGTGCATGTCACTTGTGGTTAAAGTATGAACATAAGGAGAGTTATACACAAAATCGTGCAGTTATCCCGGGGAGGTGGGGCAGGAATAGTTTGGGGTGGGAAGGTACTAAGACTTCATTCATAGTATTCTAAAATATTTTATTGAAAATATTAGAAGCACACACACACATCAGAATGGGGAATAACAAAAATAATATTAAGAATATATTCTTGGCTCTGGCTGGTGTAGCTCAGTGGATTGAGCACGGGCCTGTGAACCAAAATGTTGCCAGTTCAATTCCCAGTCAGGATACACGTCTGTCCCTCTCTTCCTCCTTTCCTTCTCCTGTGTCTAAAAGTAAATAAATAAATAAAATCTTAAAAATATCTATATTCTCAAGAAATAATAGGAAAATATGATAACAGAAAAAGAATGATAGAAATAGGAAAGAATAAGAAAAATAATAGTTACTGCAGATGGTAGATACATACATACTTGTTATAGTTATCACTTCTATTTTATTTTAAACATTTATCTAAATTACTAAAAAGAACCATAAAGTTATTAGCTGTAATTATTGGTAGTCAAGTTGAAACTCAGAGTGTTTGCTCATGTTTCCTGGTGTGTGAGGGAGCTACACTGTGGGCGCTGCCCCTTCGTACTGGTAGACGGGAGAAGTAAGACAAGAATTACATAGGGAAGAGGGAGAAGTAAGACAAGAATTACGTAGGGAAGAGAGCTGCGGCACTGAGCGGCCTCGGCAAGGAGAGGGTGAGTCGCACAGGGTGCTCTCTAGCCCTTTTCAGCTGGAACAAAGACCTTGGATCTTCCATTGATTCTTTTTTAGATGCTACAGGATCAGACTGTTTTTCAGTCTGAAAAACCTAAACTCACAGCAAAGTTCTTTGCCTGTTTAGTTTTATTTTAAAATCATGTTTTAAAATAAAACATGATCTAGTTTTATTTCACAGTGCTTTCATTGAATGCTCTAGGATCTATATATTTTTAGCAAATTCTTTTTATCTTCCCATTAGGTTTATGGTCATGTACTTCCCAGATGCATTAAGAATCAAGATCCAGAATACTATAAAGTCCAGAATACTATAGATCATTAAAGAAAGGTTGTTTTTTTTTTTAAATCACACTGGATTTAATAAGCCAGAGAAAGTAGCCATATAGATTTTAGGAAGAGTATGACAACGTTAAAGGTTACAGTAACCCCCAGGAAGCAAAAAATAGGATTATTAGAACACTCAATAATAATTATTAGAATACTCAGTGAAGTATGAGAGTTTTCTCTGATACTTCTTTGTCCCAAATATATTTTGTTCTTCAACTTCTATAAAAGGTTTTCTGAAACTTTTGCAATTGTCTTATATGAATTGATTTTCTTTTGCACTAAATAAAAAAGTGAAGTAAGGATGTGAAAAGCATATATAGAGAATTGTTTACTAATGAAGTTACCTTCAGTCTGTTTGACTTCCTAATTTGGTGGTGATGTTGATGATGCTATCTTCCTACTTATTTGTTACAGAATTTGTGCCTTTGTCATAGCATTTGTTTACCGCTCTATCTGAAGTTAAGGTGCGTGAAAGTATTCAGTATACACTGGGATTCTCTTATTTTAAGTCATTCTGTGTCCATTGTATGTTTGTTTAAAGACACATATTTTCTTACAGCTCAGCAGAATGGACATCAGAATAATACTGAGACCTTAAGGTCTTAGAGAGTCTGGTTTTTCTTTTTAGTTGCAGAGGTACCAAACTATCTGTCCTAATTACCTGTTAGTAGGGTTAAGTGGGGTACTGTATGTGAAAGTGCTTTTAAAATTTTGTAACACTGCACAAAACTAAGAGATTTTTATTATTTGGAATTGTAAACAAGACCGAATAATATTTGAGGAATTGCTCTTTTAAAGCAGAAAAGAGAGAGGAGGGAGAATTACATAGGGAAGTGACTTACGTTTTTAAACCGAGTGTTTTGATATTATGATGAGCCAATGGACTAATGTAATAAATACTTCAAAAGATCAAAAAGTAAACAGTTAAATTAATCTTTTATTCCCACGCTCTTTACTGTTTGCTTGATCATGGCCTGAATTTATTTTTAAGGATTCGTGTACATCAATGGCAGAATCCTCCAGTGATTCAGACCACTTCCGCTCTCGTGACCGATTGAGTCGATGGGCTGCGAGGTCCATTCACCGGGAATTTGGGAATCGTCCCGCACTAGATGTCACCGAGAAGGTCAACTCTATAACAAGTACTTTACAGGTGAGTTTAACAATGTTTGCATTGAATCGATTGTAGATAGTTTAAGCTGAGCAATAATTTTGGTCAGTGTATTGATTTTTTTTTGCTACCATAACAAATTACTGCAAAACAAATATCTTAAATAATAGAAACTTACTTTCTTACAGTTCTGTAGGTCAGAATCTGGCACTAGTCTCATTGGACAAAAAGTTGAGGTGTTGGTAGGGCTGCATTCCTTCTGGAGGCCCCGGGGAAATATCTCTTCCCATGCCTGTTCCAGCTTCTCGAGGCTGCCCACATTTCTTGTGGCCCCTCATCTTCACATTCTTCTCAGATCACATCACCCTGACTGCTTCTTTCGTCTGCTGCCCTCCTCCACGTTTAAGGGTGTTTGTGGTTACACTGATTATTCCCAGTAATCCAGGGTAATCCCTCAAGATCCTTAATATAATTATGGTGTGTCTGCAAAATCCCTTTTGCCATGTAAGATTTCAGGGATTAGGGCTTGAACATCTCTGAGGGTTCTTATTCTGACTACCAGTCAGTAAGGATATTTGAAATATGTGATAGGTTGTGGAAAGTGTTTTGGGATAAGGTCATATTTCCAAATAAAATATGGTAGGAGTGAAATCATTAGTGATTACCATCATTTAGCTTTTTGTGGACATGTGCCTTTAGAAAAATGGTTCATATTTTGGCCTGGTAGATTATTCATGGGTGAGTAATAGTGAGATGCCATTTTGATTTAGAGGCTGACCTTTGCCTTTGACAGTGTTTGGAAGGTTGAGTGGGGTGGTTTTCATCCTTCCATAGAAGGGGTGTGGGAAAAGAAGTGGGGGAAGGGACAAAAAAACTCAGAAATTGGTTTTTTTTGGAGATCAAACTGTTGTTCGAGGTTTCATTTGCAAGGGTTTGATCACCAAAATATATAAAGAACTCACATGACTCCACTCCATGAAGAGAGACAAGCCAATTAAAAAATGGGCAAAGGACCTGAACAGACACTTCTCTAAGGAGGACATACAGAGAGGCCAGAGACATATGAAAGGATGCTCAGCATCACTAGCCATCAGAGAGATGCAAATTAAAACCACAATGAGATACCACCTCACACCATTGAGAATGGCCATCATAAACAAATCAACAAACAACAAGTGCTGGTGACGTTGTAGATAAAAGGGAACCCTAGTGCACTGTTGGTGGGAATGTGGACTGGTGCCACCACTGTGGAAAACAGTATGTAATTTCCTCAGAAAACTAAAAATGGAACTGCCCACTGCTGGCATTATACCTTAAGAATCCTGAAACACCAATTCTGAAGAAGCTGTGCACCCCCATGTTCATAGCAGCACAATTTACAATAGCCAAATGCTGGAAGCAACTTAAGTGTCCATCAGTAAATGAGTGGGTCAGAAAACTGTGCTACATTTACACAATGGAATACTATGCAGGAGAAAGAAAGAAGGAACTTCTACACTTCGTGACAGTTTGGATGGAACTGGAGAGTATTATGCTAAGTGAAATAAGCCAGGCAGAGAAGGACAAATACCAAATGATTTCACTTATAAGTGGAATCTAATTAATAAAACAAACAAGTTAGTAAAATATAATCAGAGACAGTCAATTTAAGAACAAACTGACAGTAACCAGAGGGGTGTGGGGAGAGAGATAATGGGGCAAAGAGGGGGGAGGGTCGTCAAGGAACATGTATAAAGGACACATGGACAAAGCCAAAGGGGGTAGGTTCGAGGACGAGAGGTGGGGATGGGTGGGGTGGGGGGCCGGGGTGGGGTGAAAATGGAGACAGTTGTACTTGAAAAACAAAAAAAATTCAATTTTTTTCTACCCATTAAACCCTTACCTTTGTCTTGCCTGGATAAGCATGCATTTTGGCTTTTTATTGTTTTGGGTTAATATACTTAGGGGAAAAAAGTCTAATTTCTAGTGGAGGGGCCATAATTTGATTTGATTTTTCTTTTTAAACTTATTGAAACTAAAATTACAATGGATTTTGGAGTGCAGATTCTTGTACTTTTCCACCAATGAGACATATTAGTAAGTATATGTTTTTGAAATAAATGCCTCCATTGAAATCTCAGGAGAAACCTAACATATTTAGGTAGATACCATTGTTGTTATGATTAGAACTAAATTTGTTGTTTATAGCTAAATATTAAAGGATGCTTTTATTTCCCTTGTAATTAAGTTTTGAGGTGGAGTAGTAGTTGAAATAACATAGATCCAATGATTTGCTCCTTTTTTTTATTGTTGTCTCCATTTCCTCTCACCTGATTTACTTCTCTTGTACACAATCTACTAGCTTTGTTATTTTAGGATTCTTTTTCATGAAGAAGGTGCGCAAGTTGATAATGAGGATTTATTTTTGTTTGGTTTTGTTGCCAACTTATTATGGAACCTTGGGTAAGGACTTAAACCATGTGCTTCAGAACTCATTCAAGTAAATTGATGATGGATTTTAGTTTTTCTCTCAGTCATGTTAATAACATTTAATTGATGATTATTTATGAAGTGTGTTGATATCTAACTTAACCGTGATATAAAGTGAATCTTTTACAAATGATTGAGTTAGGTGTTTGACATACTAGTAAGAGTGATTGGAAAAAATGTTGTTTGGAAAAGTTAATAAAGTCCATTTTCTTTCTTAAGGACACCAGTCGAAACCTACGACAAGTAGACCAGATGCTTGGACAATATCGAGAATATAGTAATGGACAGGCAGGTGCTATAGAACACGTAAGCATGTTTGCATGTTTGTGTTTTCTCTTACCTTTTTGGAAATGCAGAGCTGAGGATTAGGGATGTGCGCTAAAGGAGATAATCATTGTGAGCAGCTTAAACTTTTAGACTGCTTCACTATTTTGTAGTTTAAATTAGGTTAGCTGGTCAGATGGATTGCCAACCAGCTCATGTTTATTAGAGCCTATTGAATTTGAAAATGTTAAGTCAGAGGGGGAAGAACTCAGGGCATGAATTAAACTGAAATTTATTAAATTTGGGCTCAGATACCTCTCATGGGGAGGTAAGAATTTTTTAAGGATGGTTTATTTTAAAGTAATACACACTCATTGTTTAAATAAATAACAAAATTCCTCCCTCCTGGCCCTTCTGAGTCCCACTCCAGAGAGGTAACGATTTTGACACTTCCTTGTATATCTTTCCAAAGATTTTCTATGCCTGTATAAGCATACTTTTGATTGGTTTAAAAGCTGGAATCATATATAATGCTATGCAACTTTTACTATTTAGTAATATATGTTTATATCATTTTCTATATGACACATACCTCATTCATTTGAACAGTTACACAGTACTCCATAGTATAGGTGTATCCAGCATTTATTTATTTATTTTGGTTTGGTGTTATTTTAAATAATATAGCAGTGACCATTATGCTACATGTGTTTTTCTTTAATCACATGCTTCCTGGGAGCAGAGGTGCTGGGTTAAAGGATACGTACACTTATAGTTTGCTAGATATTTCAAAATTACCCTCTCAAGGATATGGCAGTGTGTACTTACTTCACATGGGGATGTAAAAGAAAACATATCCAGGAATCGGGAATAAATAGACCATTTTTATTAATATTTTGCTAATTCAATCTCTTATTTCTCTCTTTTGAAATTTGTTAATTCATCTGCATACTCTTAGAAACCCAATTAAATTTATTTCTTCATGTTTCCAATTACGTGTATGCCCTTTAATAAGAAGACTAGTATTCAATTTGTACTATAATGATTGTTTTATATATATCTGTACTATACTGAATTGTCACATAACTTCCAAGTTATAATTGGTGATTTGTTATCTTTTTATAAAACCGAAGCATAGTTATTATTTGCTTATAATTGGAAACTAATTGCTTCTAATTGGAAACTAATTGCTTGTACCCAGGGAAACATATCTTTTGTCATAAGGTTTTCTACTACTTCCACTTAGAAAATAAAGTTGGACTTCTTTTGCAGCTAAAAGATTTTTATGATTTATGGTGTATGTGGCAGAAGGAACTGTAGACTTTGTATATTTGCATAGCTCAGGAAATGCTATAGATTAAATTACCTTATTAACAATAGGAGTTACTTGCTTTTTAATTTATTTGTGAAAAATTGAACACTGACTACGAACAGAGAATAGTCCTACTTTGTCATGTTGAATATTAGATGCTTGTAGCAAATTTTCTTTGAGTTTGCAATTGGGAAATGAAATTATGTTTTAGAGAAACTTCTACACAGGTAAGCATTTAAAACAGAAAATGTGTTCCACTATGGCAGTAAGCCTTTGTGGTAGGCCTTGGGTTGAATAATACTGAACTCAGGGGTGTGGTTTTATACATGGAAAGTAAACACACTGAACGGGTACTTCATCTTCCTCTGGGTTTTAAGTATGTAGAGGGCAACGCCCCTCATCTAAAAAACAAGACACAGAAGAGCGAGGGTCTTTCTTTGGCTTCAGACTGTAACTTGGTCTAGTGGAGTCTCTGTCTTAATTTCCCCCAATTTTTGTGCTGTTAAAACAGTTGGTTTTCAGTGATTTTCCCCTCCAACATATCACCCGAGTCATGTCACTCCTCACCTTATGTTATACTTCCCTGATAGAGAGTGATCTTCACCCTGCCACCTATAAGTTACCTTGGGCAAAGATTATTCTGGAAAGATGTGCAACTCAGAAAGAGTGCTTTTCACAAGGGATTATGATGGGCTCCTCAATGAACATTACTTTCTTAGCATTCAGATATTTACTGCTATGGAATATATTATACCTTAAAAGGAGTGTACATAATGTGCCTGATATCATATGATTTGTCTGAATCTTTCTGTTTATATTCCTGAAGTCCTTTAAGTACATAGTAGTATTTGTTTTTTTTATTTTCTTTTAGTCAATGTATGTGCTGATTAGGGAGGAATGCTGGAGATTGGTCTTTTAAAAAATATTTATTTTTGAGACTATGCTGCAACTCCTACAAGTCTTCTTGCTGTGAAACCTGCTATATTTTAAAATAAATCCTGTAACAGCTTAATTCAGTTTAACCAGTGTTCAACTGTTAAAAATTTTCTCCCTGCTATCTGTTGCCTTATTTAAATTAGCATTTCTTTTTTTTTAAAAAAATAGATTTCCTAGAAAACAAGATCAACTGTTTTGCTCTAGAGAAGATAAGAACTTTCACTGTTAACTTAGGTTTTATAAATGATTGTATTGCTGACCCTCAGGAAAAGGATGCTTTATATAGGCATTTAAAGATTTCTTTTATTGGGGTTTAATTTTATTGCCAATTGGTGAGGGGGGAAAATAAATAATTGATGCAGTTTTCCTCCTGAGATGCCCTCCCCCAACAAGAGAACTGTGAGAATCATTGCTGTTGATTTTGTAAGGGCTAAGGGTCAAAGTCACCTTTTTGACTATTTTTCCTGAAAATGTACATAATTTCTTTCTGCTGCATAGTATTCCATTGTGTAAATGTACCATAGTTTTTGATCTACTCATTATGTAAGTGGAACCTAATCAACAACATAAGCAGGCAAGCAAAACGTAACCAGAGACATGGAAATAAAGAACATATTGATGTAACCAGAGGGGAGGGGTGAGAGGGGTAATGGGGGAAAATAGGGGAAGGGGCATCAAGGAACATGTTTAAATGACACATGGACAAAGACAGAGGGGGGTAGGATCGAGGCTGGGAGGTGGGGATGGGTGGGCTAGGGCGGAGTGGTGGGGGGAATATGGACACAACTGTACTTGAACAGCAATAAAAAATGTGTGGAATTTCACTTGTTCCCTTGAATCTTTATAGCCTCCAACCCCAACTTTAATTCTTTGCCTATGAACTTGAAGCTTCTCTGTGAGGAGCTGAGCAGTCTTAGAGGATCAGCAGTGGGGTCTGTGGTGTTGGGGGAAAAGCAGCACCTACCTGCCTTGTCATAGTCTCCGGCAATTTCTTTATAAACTTGGTATATCCCAGGGGCTTTTTTTCTTATATCAACTCATTTAATTCTCTCAACAATCCTATTAGGCAAATACTGTTATTATTCTCATTTACAAGATAAAAAAAATGGGACACAGAATGGTCACAGACTTGCCCAGCTAGTCAGAGCCAAGGACGAGGTGTTGTCCTAAAACCCAGCGTCCAGATTCATTGACCTCATTTCCCTCACGGTTATGCACATTTCTGTGCTGTTGTGAATTTAGGATTCTGAAAATTGGGACCTCACATTCAAAGTTTGAAGGGTTATGTAATTTACATTAGATTTTTGCGAATATCTTAACTGATTGAGAAAGAGGAGCCCGTTATCACCAATGCCATTAACATCATAGCTGGTATTGTGTCAGAAATTAGAGTTAGAAGGAACAAATGCAGAAACAGAATTGGGAAGAAATCTGGTGCTGAACTAGAACTGGCATTGACAGATTGTCAAGGTTGGCAGTTTTGGCACCGTGGTAGATTCTGCAGCTAACCTACACACCAGCATCAATTGGCCCCTTCTGCCTAAGTAACAACCATTGATTTTTCACTAGTCTTTCTTATAGCTGTGCCTGCCAATGAGCCCTATTTACTTGGACAGTTTGGCTAAGGGTCTTTGGGCTCAGTGAACTTGATGACCTTGAGGAATTGTCACCCTGCATTATTTCTCATTTCATAAATTTTGGGGGAGGTCTGAGGACATTTGAATCAAAGAGGACCTGTGGGGAAGGTTTTATTGAAAGCTTATTTTGAACATTTAGAACATATTATCCTCCAGTGTTAAATAGTGCAATTGATTAGCTTAGTGTTTAGAATATTTTAAGAACATTGCGTTCCTATTCATGAGACAACAGGGTCTATTTTTGTGTTAATTCTATAAAATAGAATGCCCTCAAGAAGTATTATTCAGCACAAGAGGTTAATATGTAGTAGAAATATGGAATGTAGCTGATGAGGCTACGGTAGTTAATATTGGGTATAAAAGAAAAATACAGTTCCCTTGATTCAAATCAGCTTGTTTATTCATTTTTAAAGTAAAGATGTGTTAAAATAGTGTAATATCAAATTAGACCTTAGAGGCTTACATTACTAGGTAATTTTTCTTCTAATTAGGTACTCTGATTAAAATTTCCCTTTGAGACTAATAGGATATTACCATCTGGCATGTGAACTTTGGAAGAACTTAAATGTTACATAATGCAGTCCAGATTTTTCTTCTGTTCAGTGGGTTTCAGGTGTTAAATATACTGAGTGACACTCCAGAAGGAAAAGCCACTTGTAGTATCTCAAAGCTGCAGGTATCTGTCCTTTTCTCTCTGGGTGAGCTTTACTAATTGTCCCGAAGGAGAGAACTGGTCACAGTTAAACTCTGCTGGCTTCTTTTTTTTGTGAATATATTTTGGTTCTTCAGAATTAGGTTCTTAGAGTTTTATGTTTAAAATTTCATTACCAAGTCTCTCATGAAACTACTGGACAAGAGAATAATTTTCACAGAATTTTGCTTTGAGTCTAGTGAAAAATGTAGATTCTGGAGTCAGACTTCTAACGGAATCTTGTTTTTTTCAGCTAGAAACCATTTAGTTACTTTGGGCAACCTACCAAACTTTTGTGAATTTGAGTTTCACCATCTTAAAAGTCAACATAAGCATATAATCTTCATGATAACATTTATTGAAATTGTCACACTTGTTACAACTTGTTAGTAAGATACTTGTTAAACACACTACATTCTTGTTATTTTAAAAATCCATCCAATAAGTCCTCCACCTTCAAGCATTT